CTATCTATCTATCTATCTATCTACATAATTCTGTTTCTTTCTTTCTTTCTATCTATCTATCTATCTATCTATCTACATAATTCTGTTTCTTTCTTTCTTTCTTTATTTCTTTCTATGACTTTTCATTATCTATCTATCTATCTATCTATCTATCTATCGTGACCAAGTAAATGGTTTAAGAAATAACTAAACAAGTCTTCGGAGCGTACAACGGCCGAAACATCCTCAATATGGCAATAAAGCTGAGGACAACAGTCCGAAAAACGTAAATAGTTACAATACTTCATCTCAGAAATATAGACAGATCCCGAAGAAGGCCGGAGCGGACAACGGTTGAAACGTCGTGAATATGTCAATAAAGACGAGGACAACGGTCCGAACAATGTTAATAATGTAAATGTATTCAAGATTAACTTTCTCCTGGATTTGTTGCCAACCAAAGCTATAGAGTAAGTCTACCCTACTATTTAACGTGCTTAATAAAAACGTTTGCATTCATACGAAGACAAGCAGTTTAGACTTAAAATATTTTTCTAAATGCGATATGCCTTAGGTGGAATAAGTGATAACGGCTCTCCTCACTTTCTTTTCTTTGTGAATTCCACTGACCTCTTGGCTACCCATTGCTTTCTCAACAGAAGTGAATTTATCCTATATCTAGATTAGCTGCCACCCAATGCTAAAGTGCCCAATCGACACTCTATCAGTCCACCTATCTTAGAGCAAAGGGAATGCCAATATTCGATCTATTAATCGATGATTAAGATTCTTTGATCGATTCGTGGTCAGGCCGAGAAGCTCTCGACACTTCCTCAAAGAAATGAAAAGTGTAGCATTGAAGAACAATGCACAATTGAACCATTGTTTTAAAGAATGTCTTGTAAGGTGAAAAAGAAATTATTTTCCGTTTAGTGATCATTATCTCTAATCGATTTTTCTGAAGCTCATAATAGCAGCAGCTCGTTAACTATCGCACTATTCATTATTATTATTCTGATAACGGTTGGTAATTAATTAAAAAAATAATATATACGAACTAATTATCTTGATGAATAAAATTAGAAAAAAGGATAATCTTGTCATATTAGAAATTATATATATATATATAATTACAACAATCCCTCATCTCAGCACGGTGGAGTAGTGGCGGCACGGTGAAGCAGTGGATAGCGGCTTGGATTGAGAAATCGCAGAGCAGAGTTCGAATTCCAGTCGAATCCATTACATTCACTTACGTGCTAATAGCCTTGGGAAATGTATGAATCCTCATCCTCTCCCTCCAGCTATGGGTAAAATAGCAGGACAGACTGGGTTCTATAGTCTTGGATGGCAACTGGTCTAGGATAAGGACAACTCTGCGGAGGGTTGTTTGGGAACCTTGTGGCACTCTGTATTCGTACCTTCAAAAAGTGTGGATGGTCCTGCACGAGGCCTTCACCACTATAATCAAATCTCATGTGCCGGTGTCGGGCTGTCGGTTTCCTGAAACTGATCTGCTTGACCCTCATACGTCGAATCTCGACGGGAGAGTCGATTATATATATATATATATATATATATATATATATATATATATATATAAATAAATAAAAAAAGGCTGAAACACTAATATTCCATGGTTATAATTTATTACATTGGAATCGTAATCACGATCCAATTCATCAGACCTACAAATTCAAAAAGGTCTGATTGAAAAAGGTTTCATTGGATCGTGATTACGATTCCAATGAAATAAATTATAACCATGGAATATTAGTGTTTGAGCCTTTTATATTATATCCTTACTCTGTCCTGGACATTGAGTTCTACGATGGATTCTATCCTCTTGGAAATTTAAAACCTGGGGTGATCCATGCCCTTTATGCCTACATGAAAAACTACACATTATTAAGTTTCTAAATAATTAAAATTTATTAAACCATAGACATGAGTTAACGGTTTTTTGCCGACATCAAAAAATTTTCGCATTAAATAATTACCATAAAAAAATTAAATTTCATAGTTTAATAAAAGGTTTAAAAGCTTAACCCAATCATAAGATAGAAAAACCCTTTATGAAGTCGTCAAAAAACAGATTGTAGTTCAGTGCGACGCGTTTATGTACGAAACAGCCCTTTAGAAAAAAAAATTCTTCAGATACTTAACGAAGTATTATGGTGCCAACAGCTGTGTGTTTATCCAAAAATAAATATGCTTAAATTCACCTTCATCCCTGCCATGTGCCAATAGAAACCCCGACTGATGCCAATTCAGTCGGGTTTCGATCCTAGCTAGAGGCAACCGAACGTCTAGCCACACTCTCCCCTCTCTCTTTGCCATAAAACTCATTTGGATACATCTGCGTTTTTTCCATTTTTTTTTCTCTTTTTTTTCTCTTTTTTTCCTTTTACCTTATTTCCTTTCCTCACCATTCCTACATATTACTTCCGTTTTTTTTAACCATATAAATAGGTCAAGGTTAGGTCACTCCTCCGACACCAATATAAAGCTTATTTAAGAGAGATATAAATTTAACCCTCCCTATACTCTGTATTGTCTCTTTAACTGCCACTTTCACCCTCCCTGTTTAATTACAAAAATTACACTACCCATCAATTTCTAATCCCATTTTTCCTCTCATTTCATTGTTGGAAGTGTTACCTGATGATCCGGAATCCTTTAAAAAGGATTTTGGTGAAATAAATTATTGTAATGGTACCTTAAAGTGGTTCGTTTTTTCAATATATATATATATATATATATATATATATATATATATATATATATATATATATATATATATATATATATATATATATGGCACATGGCTGAGTGGTTATAATGTTCTCATTATGAGAGCCGGGTTCGAACCATGGTCAGGAAGTTGACTTTCTGATGTTATCGGTCTGTAGGGTTCGATCCCAGCGTATGGCACCTTTGGAAAGTGCCTGAAAACCATACGGTGGGTTGACTCTGTGAGTGAAATTGGGTAGGCGGAACCCTTCTGGGCCGTCCATAGCTGTGCTAGCACGAAGTCACAAGCCATCGTGGCGGAGGGTATGAGTGTGCTGGCTTTGTTCAAATTGTTGATCACGCTAGATAACACGCCCTTTCCCAGAAACTGTAACTAAGGTCTGCTCAACATTGTTGCAGTATAAAGCACAGGTGGGCTTTGAATAAACAGAAATGTGCCTGAATAAGCGTCTGCAATAGGGATTGACTAGACGCCCTAGTAGACGGGTATTGGCCAGTTATTCATATATATATATATATATATATATATATATATATATATTAAAGACATTTTTATGTTTAACGTTCTTTTTTATAGATACAAGTATTTAAGTAAATGCTCTGTTTATAATAAACAGTATTAAATAACATTTACCGGCCTGAATGTCCGAGAAATTTTCATAGAAAATATTCGTCCTTTGACAGGATTCGAACCTTCATCCTATACGGAACCTTACGTGCCTTAACCGACTCGGCCACAAAGGAGCGTTCGGTTGAATTTACTGCTTATAAACTTCAATCTTCCATGAATCTCGTATCTATTAAAAAGAACGTTAAACATAAAAATCTTTTTAATAAATAAATTGTCGGACTTTGTCCATTTCTTAATATATATATATATATATATATATATATATATATATATATATATATATATAAAAAATTAAATACATATAAACTAAGGCTAAATAAATACTTGGGTATTTTAAATCTTTATAAATATTTCAATAGTTAAACATTTTTTTAGATATAGTTAAGATTTAAAAATTTTTTTTAAACAACATCTAAAATATTATTACAGTTGGATTTACGTTAAGAATATTCGAACACAGTGGCGTTCCATATCACGTGACGTCCGCATCTCGCGACGGACGCTACTTGTAAACAAAGTTATTTCTGAAATATTAAATATATATATAAATAAATAAATACTTTCATAAAAAAACATTATTATTTTTTTAATTTGTATCTTTATATATATATATATATATATATATATATATATACTTTGTCGAAATAATGTGATGATCGTTTTGATAGAATTAAACATGCACAAATAGGGAAGGGCCATTATAAAAATAAAACAAAAGTTCCTTATAATTATGAACAGATGTGAAACGTTTCAATTTTGAACTTTTCATTTTTAATAGAAACCAATCTGGCAGATGTTGTCATCTGATGAACACGTCTGTTATGAAACTGCTAGTTATTATGTAGTGTCGATCTATCTATCTATCTATCTATCTATCTATCTATCTATCTATCTATCTATCTATCTATCTATCTATCTCATTCTGTTCATATCTATCTATCTATCTATCTATCTATCTATCTCATTCTGTTCATATCTATCTATCTATCTATCTATCTATCTATCTATCTATTATCGATCGATCGATCTATTTATCTATCTATCCCATTCTGTTCATATCTATCTATCTATCTATCTATCTATCTATCTATCTATCTATCTTTACATTTCAAATATTTATAAACCTAATTCTCTTCCTATCTATCTATCTATCTATCTATCTATCTATCTATCTATCTATCTATCTCATTCTGTTCATATCTATCTATCATAGCGCGTTATTTTATCTTCAAGCGAAAATTCTGTTTCACCTCCTTCAAAAAGCTTATATATATATATATATATATATATATATATATATATATATATATATATATATATATTATCATGGTATAGTATACTATTCCTCCTTTCAAAAGGATTGTTTTATGAAGTGATGACCTTACGCAACACACAATGGAAACTATTTAAAACTCAGGAATCGGATACGATCAACCACTTTGCCACACTGCACTTACTTCTTAAACGCAGTAACAAGGAAGGCAATACAAGTAATAAAGTTGATACCAGCGCTACGAAGAGACTATATCGATAAAATGAATCTATTTCTGTGAGGAATCGATCCAAATATAATATCACTTTAGTTCTGGCTTTTAAATCAATCTTCTCATTTCGGGCTGGAATATGACATTCTGAAATGTTCTTCGCGTGAAAGAGGAGAACATAAGGTAGAAAGTAAAAGAAAAAAAAAAAAGATGACGATGACGGATGTAGTCAGCTGTCGTCAGCGGATGGGTAGATATTGTAAGACCTCGCTTGGCGCTCCAGGTACCTATAAAAGGTACGCTAAACTAAAAACGTTGAGCTATACGGCGTATAGAACCCGAAGTTAATATTTATTCAGAGACCTGTAAAAATTAACAATTAAACAAAATTTAGTAGGGAATTGTTATGAATTTTTTTTATCATTTCACTCCAAGGAAGGAGATAAAGTCACTAAGACGCAAGGTGTGACTGAGGGTGGAACCCGAATTTAATATTTATTCAGAGACCCGTAAAAATTAACAATTAAACAAAATTTTTGACGGAATTTCTATGAATTTTTTAATTTAATTTAATTTAAACGAAAATGACATGTCCCTCATTAATTAATCATAGCTAAGGGTCGGAAGTTCATGAAGGATTGAAATTAAGTTCAAATATATATATATATATATATATTATTCAGGTATTATTTTCCAACTTATTCAAGATGAACTTCTCTCACTGACCTTCTAACTTTCTATCCTGGAATAACAAGGTGCCTCTCAGGTTTCACGTACGATTTCATTTTCAAGTCTTTTTTCACTGCTCTTTCAACTGTCATAGCTGAAACTCCTCTCTCACGTGCCAAACGTCTTATGGATTGAGTTGGATCTTTTCTAATTGATCTCTTTAGCTCTAAGTTGAAATGATGATCCCTCTTGCTGTTGTAACCTCTTGATGCAGTTTTCCTCTCTCCTGTCCACTGGACAGGGTTTTAAACTTATTCACAATTCTCTTTATGGTTCTTGAATGGACTTTGAAAATGGAAGCCATATTATGAATGTTCGTACCATTAATGAAGGCCTGAATGATCTTTTTCCTCTCACCATTTCTCAGTTGAAAAGACAGTGGGGCTGACACAAAACGATTTTAACCTGTTCTCTTTCCAGCTGAATAACTGAAAGGGTTTTTGCAGTCATTCTTACGACAAATGGACTCAAGATGGCTAAATATCTTATCTGAAAACCTGGAAAAAAAGAAACTCCATTAGTTCAGTGTTTTTGTTTTTTTTTAGATATTAAACATTTTGTGGGATGGACGTTACACAATTTGGACAATTTTGCTGTTACACCGGTATATATATATATATATATATATATATATATATATATGAAACACATAAAAATGAAACTTAATTGCACCCCATTTATATCGCCATTTCGTTCCTTGGGTAAATTCCCTGGTGCTTCTCAATACTAAAACGTTTGATCAAAAAAACGAATCGTAAGTTTTTTTTTTTAAATTTAAAATTAAAAAAGGACAGAAAAATAGAGAAGAAAAGAGAGGAACAAACAACAAATAAGGGAAAAGGCATTTCCTTTTTTCTTGCTTTTAATTTAAAAAAAAAAACGTTACGATTCATTTTTTATCAAACGTTTTAATATTGAGAAGCGCCATGGAATTTACCCCGAGGAGCGAAATGGCCATATAAATGGGGTACAATTGAGTTTCATTTTAGGTAATTCATTTTTATGCTCTGTAATAAATATATTGACCTCTCTTTTGTGGATCAATTTAATTATATTAATAGGATTCACTTGGACTACTTAACCATAGATTTTACCTATATCTTACTTATTATAAAACGCAGATTGTGTGTGTGTGTGTGTGTGTGTGTGTACGTTTATATATTGGATGGGATTTCCTACATTTTTCAACCGATTTCAACAAAACTTCACAAGACTACGTAAAATTACCTTGCGGTGGTTCTGACAGCGCCAAAAATCGGAAAAACACAATTGTTTTTGCACGAAATCAATTTGAAAACACGATTAAGAGGCACCACGAGAATGAAAGGGGGACAACTCATATCGAGTTATACTTATTATAAAACCCAGGTTGTGTGTGTGTGTGTTCGTTTATATATGGGATCGGATTTCCTACATTTTTCAACCGATTTCAACAAAACTTCACTTTCTTTTTGGCAGGTAGTGTTTCTTATTGTCTTGCACACTTTTTTCTTTATTTTTACATTCAGAATGCTTTAAAAATTCCATTTACAAGACAATTGTTTATAATTCTATTCAATTGGTAGACTCATAATGATTGAAAACAATGTTTTTGTTTGAGTTTGACCAATTCGTAAAAAACAAAAACAAAACAAAAAAAACTAATTAAGACATGCGTGTCCTTAAACAATAATCTTTGTCAATTTTATTTTCCAGTCTTTATGATGGTCGATACTTGATCTATCTCTTACTGTTACATCCCCGGGCAACATCGGGCTCTACTGCTAGTATATATATATTTCCTTTTTTCCTCTTTATTTCTCGTTCTTCTTGTTTTTTTCATTTCTTCCACCTCCTCCCCCTTTTCACTCTCTTTCTTTCTTCCTCTCTTCTTTTTTGTTTCTTTTTCTTCTTTTCTTTTTTTTCACTTCCCCTTTTCTTCTTCTTTACTTTTTTTCTATTCCTTCTTTTTTCCTTCATGTTCTTCATAGTTTCTTTTAATTTCTTTCTTCATTATTTTCCTTCTCTTTCTTTTATGTTTCGTTAAGCTTTCGTTTTTTCATTTTCTTTGCTTCTTTTCACTTCTTCTTCGCCTCTTCTTCTCTTTCTCCTTTTCCTTCATTCCATTTTCTTCTCCCTAAATCCCACTTTTCCTTCTCTTTTTCACTTTCTCCTTTTTCTTATCTTCTTCTTTCTCCAGCCTTTCTTTCTTTCTTTCTTTCTTTCTTTCTTTCTTTCTTTCTTTCTTTTACACCGTCTTTGAATTGTTTCTTCACTTCTTCTTCTTATTATTTTTCTCCTCCTCCTCCTCCTTCTTCTTCTCCTTCTCCTTCTTCTTAATCTCCTCCTCTTCCTTTTTCGCCTTCTTTTTCTCCTTCTCATCTTCCTCCTTGTTCTTGTTTCCCTCCTCCTCTTCTTCTTCTTCTTCTTCTTTCTCGTCCTCTTCCTTCTTCTTCTTTTGCTTTTTTTTAAAAAAAATCTCCTCCTCTTCTTTCTTCTTCTTCGCATTCTCCTCTTCTTCCTTATTCTTTTTCTTCTTTTCCTCCTCGTTCGTCTTCTTCTTCTTCTTCTTCTGCTCTTCCTTTTTCTTTCTCTTCCTCTTCCTTCTCCCTCTTTCTTCTTCTTCATCTTCTTCTTTCTCTTCCTATTCCTTGTCCTTTTTCTTCCTTCTCTTCCTCTTCTTCTTCTCCTCCTCCTCCTCTTCTTTTCTACCTACACTTCCTTCTCCCTTTTCTTCTTCTTCTTCTTCTTCCTTGTCCCTCTTCTTTTTCTTCCTACTCTTTCTCTTCTTCTTCTCCTCCTTCTCCTCTTCTTTTTACCTTCTCTTCCTTCTCCCTCTTCTTCTTCTTCTCATACAGAAAATGGAATTTGAAGAATCTAAAGACCTCATTTATTTCCCTTCACAAGCCACTCCCCAATCATTATCCATCATTTCCCTGTCTCTACCCTGAATACCACCATACCATCGCCTCTGCCAACCGACATTCTCTTTCTCCCTCTCTTACGAACTGGTAACGTTCCGGCATCAAACCGAATTTTAATGCTATCTTTTCAGCTTCGAAGTCGACGAGAAACATTAAAAATGACGCTCATCTTGATTTTCCACTAGAATTATCGTAATTATAACGCCGTCAGTAAAACCGACAGATTGCAGAGGAAAAAAAAAAGACCATCAACCCGATTACCTCGATTCATTTGTTTGTTCGCTCACTTGTTTACATTTTTGGGGGCAACGGAAGTTTTTCCTTTGAACGTTTATTTTTCTCGTCTGCCAGCGTTTAACCTAATCTGTCCTCGTAATAACTTGGAAATTAGAACAGTAACTCATGCTCCATTAGAAGCCATTAGGACCCACAAAATGAGTGCAAAAGATTTGGGTTTCACAGAAATGTACTACAATCTAAAAATGGCGTACAATATTATTCACATTTCGATAACTATAACACCGTTACGTCTGGCATTCCATTTGCTTGGTGCGTGAGAGTATTGTAGCTTCGAGACACATCTCTGAAAGGGGAGGTAGTGTTAGATCCTATATATATATATATATATATATATATATATATATATATGTATAAAATTGGATGCTGATTTTTCAAAATTTATGGAAAATTGGCGCAACAATGTCATTTTATATTATTTACTTTTATTTAATATATGACAAAAATCAAGGGATGGAATCAGTAGATATAAAGCCAGAGGTTCTCAATCAAAGTGGTCTCCCCCCCCCCAAGGTGAATCCTAAACCCCAGCAGGGTGAATTCTACCCCCCAGGGTGAATCCTACCCCAAGGATGACTCCTCCCGCCAGGGTGAATCCTACCGCAGGGTGAATCCTACCTCCCAGGTGAATCCTACCACCCAGAGTGAATCCTACCCCCAGGATGAATCCTACCCCCCAGGGTGAATCCTACCCCAGGGTGAATCCTATCCTCAAGGGTGAATCCTACCCCCAGGATGAATCCTATCCTCAAGGGTGAATCCTACCCCAGAGTGAATCCTACCCCCCAGGGTCAATCCTACCCCCACAGGGTCAATCCTACCCCTCAGGGTGAATCCTACCCCCAGGATGAATCCTACCCTCAAGGCTGAATCCTACCCCAGGGTGAATCCTACCACCAGGATGAATCGTACCCCCAGGGTGAATCCTAACCTACCAGGGTAAATCCTCCCCACCCCCCGAGTGAATCCTCTCCCCAGGGTGAATCGTTCAGGTTTCCGGGGGGTATTTTAAAATTTTTCTTGGGTAAAAAAAAGCAAAGTACACATTGACTGTAATCTTCACCAGGATAAAGATTTATGGCCGTATCACGTTAAAACACCGGATCCTGTACGATCACTGAAGTTAAAACAACGCCGAGCGCGGTCATTACCTAGATGGGTGACTGTAAGCTTGGATGTGCGGGTGGTGCAATGGACAATGGCGCAGAACTGATAATTGGAGAGCCGAGTTCCAATTTCAGTAGGGTTCGTCATATTCACTCTTGCAAATATCCTTGGTAAAGACATGAATCCACCTTTTCTCCCCCAGCTATGGGTTAATTATTAAGACTTGTAGCATTAAATCATTATTATCTTTAAAAAAATTACAATTTAAAAATAGATATAACATCTCATATGATCTTATAATTTTTTAAAAATCTTTTCAGTAAATAAATTATGCAGAAACTGTCTTAATGTTATATTTTTTCCGAGCGGACAGTTTTTGTATAATTTATCTACAGAAAAGTAAAAAAAATATAAGACCATATGAGAAATTATATCAAAATTTAATCAATGCTCTTTGTCTGTCATATTGAATGAAGCTTGTGGGAAAGAAGGATTGCTGCCTAAATACACAATATCTCTCTCTCTCTCTCTCTCTCTCTCTATATATATATATATATATATATATATATATATATATATATATATGTGTGTGTGTGTCAACTTTACTTTGGAAATTGTTGCGATAAACTTGGTGTGTTTCTACCATGCTCTTGATCCAGTGCCTTCCAGACTTGGATCTATGAAATTCTGTCTGATTAAATAAATTACAAACATTATGTCTGCTTATTTTGATTATAATCCTTTCATATTCACGAATATTTTTTCGTATATTACAATTAAACGAGGTAAGAAATGGACTGTAACAGTGAGAATCACCTAGGAAATGTTTTCCATCTCTTTCTTTGGGAAATAAATGTTCCCACTGTTACATTGCATTTCTCGTCTTATTGTATTGTAATATACAGAAAAAATATTTGTGAATATGAAAGGATTATGATCAAAATAAGCAGATATAATGTTTGCAATTTATTCAATCAGACATGCCTATAATAAATTTAGCATAAGAGATACGGAAAATGGGCATAGAATAGTCAGCGTTAGTGGTAGTTTCTCACAACACCACAAGTTGATACTAAAACAATACATTAATCTAAAGCTTCGTGTCATTTCCTTAAGCACGTCAAATAGATGACTTTAATATAGATCTTATAAAGGGCACCTAACCCATATACAACCGCTTTCTTAGATCGATGGTTAAATATGGTTATGAGTGAATGAAACAAGTACGCCTTAGAGAGGACCACCCTTCGAAATATGTTTAGAAATATCTAAACTGTTAGCTATATACAACCGCAACATGCCTATGCCGTAAAAAGTTCTTAGCGAAATTGTCGCAATTAAATAAGTTTAAACATTTTGTTAGTTATTGCATAAATGGCCTGCCGTAATATTGTAATTTATATTTCCTCGACATTTAAAATATGAAGATAAAAATGAAAACATTGCTTACTCCCCTTTACTCCAAAGCTGTGGTCGAAATGCTAAGGTCGTTACCACTTTCAAGGCAAACTAAAGATTTATTTGAATAAACATATAATTTATTTAGAAAAGTTATCAACAACTATCATTTATAATTTTCCTAAAAGAAAAGATTGGTAATTATTAATATTTTTTTTAAAATTTGACATTTAAAGCCGAACTCATATTAAGTAAAAACCGCTTAAGTTGGTTAAGCTTATATGATACATTTGAAGGTTATATATCAGTCCGAATGGAAGTAGAATTTGTAAGAAGGAAATTTAATTTGGACAGCTTCTTCTCAAGATTTGCTTAGAGCTACAAGAGCCTTTGTTTTGGGGAACAGACTCCCAAGAGAATGCTTCCCTGACCACTATAATTTAAGTCGCTTCTACCATTATCTATCCTCAGCATATACAATAAAACAATACCATCAAACAACCCTCTACCTTGAGTTGCTCTTGGGCATTGCATTGGGTGAAAAATAGCGTAAAATGCATACTGTTAGGTATAAATAATAAAATAATAAAGTAGTTGTGGCCCGTGGGGGACACAGTCCTATGAGTAAAAGAGAAATCACGGAATATGTGATCAAGCGGCGCTATATCGAGTCTAATTCGCTTCATCTTCGTCACCGAGGCCCGTTGGTACAGTTGGTATGACGTCTGCCTCTTATCGTGACTGTTCGGCTTTCAATTCTCGGTAGTGGATGCCCACTGTTGATGAGTCCCAAATATAAGACGAAACGGCCGTCCAGTGCTTTCTGCATTCTGTTGAGGTTTCTTCTAGACTCGATGAGTTACTTAATTATGAATAATAAAACTACATTTATTTGATGCCAACATTTTACAGAAGTTTTCACGGATACTTCGAGATTTTGAGCAGACCGACACAAACATTCTGAGCTTTATGGGACAAAAAAACATTATACTTAACACTAGAAAGATATAGTGAAAATTACTATAATGAGGAAAGATGGCTTGGAAAATCTGATACTCACAGGACAGATTGAAGGCAAGACGAACAGAGGAAAACAACGCATAACCTACCTAAAGAGCTTGAGTAAATGGATGGCGGGTTAGGGTTTAAGGGAGATAACAAAAAGAGCTGGAAACTGTGGAGATCTAGATCGCCTACGTCCTGAAGGATGTTAGAGAAAAGGGAAACAAAAAGGAAAATTATACTTCATATCAGGACGAGACAGTTGAAATTTCTCTGGCACATAATGAGGAAAGAAGGCTTGGAAAATCTGATACTCACAGGGCAGACTTAAGGCAAGAATGGAAGGAGAAAACAACGCATAAGCTACCTAGCGAGATTGAGTGGATGGATAGCAGAGGAGGGTTTAGGGGAGATAACAAAAAGACAAGATTTGTTAAGAGCTACAAAACGCAGGAAATTGTGGAGAGCCATGATCGCCAGTGTCATCAAAGGGACGCAGTACAAAGAAGAAGAAGAAAGATGAGGAGCAGAAGAAGGAGGAGACGAAAGAAGAAGAAGAAGACGAAGAAGACAAAACAGACGGGGAGGAGATGATGAAGAAGGCGATGGAGAAGAAGGAGGAGAAGGAGGAGGAGAAGAAGGAGGAAAATATGAAAAAGAAGAAGGAGGAGGAAGAGAAGAAGTCGTAGGAGGAAGAGATTAAAGAAGGCGACGAAGAAGAATGAAGAGAAGAAGAAAAAGGAGGAGAAGAAGAAGAAGGAGGTGGAGGAGGAGGAAGAGATTAAAAAGAAGAAAAGAAGGCGACGAAGAAGAATGAGGAGGGGAGAAGAATAAGAAGGAGGAAGAGGGGAAGAAGAAGAAGAAAGAGGAGAAGAGGAGGAGGAGGAGAAGAAGAAGGAAGAGGAGAAGAAGAAGAAGTCGTAGGAGGAAGAGATTAAAGAAGGCGACGAAGAAGAATGAGGAGAAGAAGAAGAAGAAGAAGAAGTCGTAGGAAGAAGCGATTGAAAAGAAGAAAAGAAGGCGACTAAGAAGAATGAGGAGGCGAGAAAAATGAGGAGGAGGAAGAGGGGAAGAAGAAGAAGAGGAGGAGGAGAAGAAGAAGGAAGAGAAGAAGAAGAAGAAGAAGAAGGAGGAGGAGGAAGAGAAGAAGGAGGAGGAGGAAGAGATTAAAGAAGGCGACGAAGAAGAAGAAGGAGGAGGAGGAAGAGATTAAAAAGAAGAAAAGAAGGCGACGAAAAAGAAGAAGAAGAAAAGAAGAAGAAGAAGAAGAAGAAGAAGAAGAAGAAGATCTTACATGGTATTGTTATATAGCTAAAGTAGCTTCGCCATGGATTGTGGTTAGAGCAGAGGATACAGGCAAAAAATATTTGAGGTTTCTATTTTCCGACAACTTCATTTCCTTAATATCGCTCGCAAAAGAATTTATGAAATTATTATTTTAGGCGCGTGTGTAAAACATCCGTTTTTAAACAATTCCGGAACAAGAGATCAATTTTCACGATTTCTCTGCCGGAAACATTTGTCCAAACAGTGCATTCAGAAATTCTATCTTCCCAGACACAACTAAAATTTTAATTGATTGATTTTTTACGGCTTATCAACCTTTTCGAGGTTATTTAAAGCTGAAATATATTTTGGGATTGTAAGAATGTTTTTTTTTCTTTTCTGATACAAAGCTTACTATTTAATCCATAGCTGTGAGGATCAGAGGTAAATCCATATATTTCTCAAGGGTGTTTTCGCATATGTGAATAGAAAGAACCCGACTGGAATTCAAACTCCGTTTTCCGATTACTTATAACGAGCCCCTTATCCACTACACCTCCCGCACATCGCAACTTACAGAACCTGGTATTTTCGATCGGTCATCTATCTAGGTAATGAACAGGTGGGACGTTGCTTAACAGCGTTGCTTCATTATATATATATATATATATATATATATATATATATATATATGTGTGTGTGTGTGTGTGTGTGTGTGTGTGTGTGTGAAAATATATAGAAAATAGGAAAGAACTCGTTAGGTAAATAATCCAAAGTTCTTTAGTATTTTTCTTATTATTTTGAAAAAAAATAATGCTCGATACAAAAGAAGAGCATAAATATAATTATTTATTTAAAAATATGATTCCAACGCTACATAAGAGTTCTCATGTTTCAAAACAAGAGCCGAAATCTTCAATATAATTATTTGAATTTAATTGAATTAAAGTACTTAAAGTAATTAAAGCGAAATTTTTTTTGGATTCCAAAAAAAAAAAAAAAAAAATTTCGCTTGAAGATGGAACAGAGCTTGGTACTTCAATTTAATTCAAATAATTATATCGAAATTTTCGGCTCTTGTTTTGAAATGAGAGCTATTATGTAACGTTGAACTATATTTTAAATAAATAATTATATATATATATATATATATATATATATATATATATATATTATAATGAATCATTCATACAAATAGTAGATTAGTAAAGTTAATGATATAAAATGGCGAAATCCCTTCGCTAACAAAATTTTAAAGGTGCATTAACTTACAAATCATTCGATGAATGTTATGAGCCTTGTTTTTAAAAATTATAATCTACATAAGGTCTTTCTTTAATACGTAAGTACTTTCAACTGTACATTCAGTCATCTTCAGGTATGGACATTATTTTGTTTTTTGCTAAAATTCAGGTAGCATCCGAGACGAAAAAATATAATGCGAATCGAGATGTTTTTTTCTCTTTTTAAAATGTGTTATTGTTAACGGATACAAACTTTTGGAGCGCGAAGTCGCAACGCTAAGGTTGAATTTTTTTTAAATTTATGAGAGTGCGTTTTTTTTACTAATATGGCAATTTGAGAATTTTTTGTTGTAGGAGTTTATCAGTCAATGTGGCATGAAATAAATAGTTCAATAAGTAGAGTAATGTCTCAGTTGTTATCCCGAAAATTTGCACGTCGGATCAGTTCTTTTAAATCAAATATGGCGCAGTTCAATTTATATTACAATGAATCATTCATACAAAATATTAAGTAAAGACCTTATACAGCTTATAATTTTTAAAAACAAGGATCATAACATTCATCGAATGATTTGTAGATTAATGCTGCACCTTTTGTTAGCGAAGGGATTTTGCCATTTTATATCATTAACTTTACTGCTTTACTTTTTGTGTGAATGATTCATTGTAATATAAATTGAACTGCACCACATATTTGAAATATATGGCGCTTAGTTGAGTCTGATTTGGAATCTCTTCATCGCTGAGGCCCATTGGAACAGTTGGTATGATGTTCGCTTGACAACCTAACTGTCAGGGTTTCAATTCTCGGTAGTGGATGCGCACTGCTGATGAGTCCCAAATATAGGACGAAACGGCCGTCCAGTGCTTTCTGCATTGTGTTGAGGTTACTAACAGACTCGATCAATTAATTAAATATATATATATATATATTATGAAATTGTAAGCGATTTGCACTTGTTAAACAGGGCTGACCAATTTCTCATATTCGTTCGAATGTTTAGATGTCAGTGTGAACAAAACTCCTGATGGGATGTCATTTCTTTCCGGTTTCAGTACGCACTGCTGTGCACACCGGAACAGGAAACCAATTTTGTATAAATATAGCGATTGAAAACTATTTAGGAATGTTTATGGAAGGAAAATAAAAATTAAAAAAAGCCCGCAAAAACAAAGCATCTAATTCAAACCCTCCCCATGCAACGTTGATTATCCTGTCTCTCTCTCTATATATATACGAGATTTAATCAAAAAGTATCAGGACTGGTGGTATAAAAAGAAAACTACAACACATATTAATTCGACATTAATCTCCTTCGAAGTAGTCCGCATCTGAAGCCACATAGTTTATTCAGCTTAGTTCGTATTGATGGAAGCATTCTTGGAACTCATTTTGTGGGGATAGCGAGCAGTTTCCCGGTCGCATTCTCTCGGCGTCATAAAATCTTGTTTCATTCAAGTAGGATTTAATTTTTAAAGAGGCAAAAGTATCAAGGGGCAAGATCTGCGGAATATAGTGGTTGTCGGGCATGGGGAATATCGTCTTTGGCCAAAAGCTGTTGCACAAACTATGGCCACTGATAGAATCTCTGTAGTATGGCGATGCTACCACACTCTACACACTTTCCTTCCAATCACTGCTATAAGCAAGGAAAGTGAACGAGAACCTTATAACCATGCCAAGCGGCTTCACTCTGCTACCGTAGCGACATTTCCGATACTTTATCATCAAACCTCGTGTATACAAATTTTAGGCAGCAGAAATATGGTTCTACAGAAGGATGCTGAGAATACTATGGACCGAATATATGAGCAGTGACCATAGTTTAGAGAAAACGGAAACCAAAAGTATACTTATATTTAACATCGGAAAAAGTCAGTTGAAATTTCTAGGGGGCATACTAAGGAAAGTGTGCATGGAACATTTGATACTCACAGGGCGGATTGAAGGTAAGAGGGAGACAGGAAAACAACGCCTAACTGTATTACGTAATTTCGACATTTTAAAATATAATGGACATGTGTGTAATTAAACAAAATTTTATATTTTTTAATTAAAAGTATGAATAATTTAGATACATTTTTGTCAAATGGCTACATTCTTTTATGGCTACGAATTCTCTGTGGACCACTAGAAATGCTATGTGGACCACCGGTGGTCCGCCTGGACCACGTCGAGAAACACTGCTCAAGATGATCAGAACTTTAAGATTTCTTTTCTAATTGTCATTTGATACCAATCTATCTATCTATCTATCTATCTATCTATCTATCTATCTCATTCTATTCATATCTATCTATCTATCTTATTGTTCATATTTATCTATCTTATTCTGTACATATCTATCTATCTATCTATCTATCTATCTATCTATCTATCTATCCCAGCCTGTTAATATCTATCTATCTATCTATCTATCTTATTCTGTTCATATCTATCTATCTATGTTCATATCTATCTGTCTATCGATCAAGATATCTATCTCATTCTATTCATATCTATCTATCTATCTATCTATCTATCTATCTATCTATCTATCTATCTATCTCATTCTATTCATATCTATCTATCTATCTATCTATCTATCTATCTATCTATCTATCTCATTCTATTCATATCTATCTATCTATGTTCATATCTATCTGTCTATCGATCTATATATCTATCTCATTCTATTCATATCTATCTATCTATCTATATTCATATCTATCTGTCTATCGATCTATCTCATTCTATTAATATCTATCTATCTGTCTATCGATCTATCTATCTCATTCTATTAATATCTATCTATCTATCTATCTATCTATCTATCTATCTATGTTTATATCTATCTGTCTATCGGTCTATCTATCTCATTCTATTCATATCTATCTATCTATCTATCTATCTATCTCATTCTATTCTCATATTCTTCTTATTATTATTATTAATAATCTTGTCAGTCCGTTTAATTGTTGAATGAAACAAGAAGTATTAGAAACAAATTTAAGAAAATTCTCATCTTCTTAAGGTTCCACTCAAAAAAAAAAAAGTCGTGTGAGATAAATGGAGTTGATATTTTTGCAAACCTCGCCATAATTGCTTATAAAGAGATCTTTGATTCAACGTTGATGTAAGGCAGTTATGTTTCTTGCAAGACTCATTCCTGGCAACTCTAATTGGTTGTGAAAATCAAAGAATATCAACACTGATGTCTTCTCCCACTTCGTTTTACATATCCCGTCACTCTTTGCGCTAAACAATCTTCCTGTCACGGAAAAAAAGATTTCCTGTGAAAATCCCCGCTTTGCTTACCGTTATTTACATCTTTAGGAATATAAGCGTAGAAAGAATTTTTGGTCATAGTGGAAGCAAACATTAGGAGGGGGGCGCTTCAGTCTTTGGGTTTTATGGTTTCCTCAGCTCTTTCTGTTTTCTTTATATTTCTTCTTCTCTTTTCTTTTTGTTTTCCGTCTTTTTTCTTCTTTTTCTTCTCATTTTGTTCATTTTTCTTGTTTTTCTTCAAAGTCTTTATCTTCTTGTCTTCTTTCTTTTTCTTCTTCCCCATCTTCTTCTTTCTTTTCTTCTCCTTCGGGTTTTCTTTCTTTTTCTTCTTCCTTTTTTCTTTTCTTCCTTCTTCTTCTTCTTCTTCTTCTTCTTCTTCTTCTTCTTCTTCTTGTCTTCCTCCTTTTTCTTCTTCCCCATCTTCTTCTTCCTTTTCTTCTTCTTCTTCGGGTTTTCTTTCTTTTTCTTCTTCTTCCTTTTTCTTTTTTCCTTCTTCTTCTTCTTTCTTCTTCCTTTTCTTCTTCCCCATTTTCTTCTTTTCTTCTCCTTCAGGTTTTCTTTCTTTTCTTTTCTTCTTTTTTTCTTTTCTTCTTCTTCTTCTTCTTCTCTTCCTCCTTTTTCTTCTTACCCATCTTCTTCCTTTTTCTTCTTCTTCTTTTTTTTTCTTTTCTTCTTTCCCTTCTTCATCTTCTTTTCTTCTTTCTTCTTCTTCTTGTTTTTCTTTTTCCCCATCTTCTTTTTCCTTTTCTTCTTCTTCTGGTTTTCTTTCTTTTTCTTTTTCTTCTTCCTTTTCTTTTCTTCCTTCTTCTTCTTGTTTTCCTTCTTCTTCTTGTTTTCCTTCTTTTTCTTCTTCCCCATCTTCTTCTTCCTTTTTTCTTCTGGTTTTCTTTCTTTTTCTTCTTCTTCCTTTTTCTTTTCTTCCTTCTTCTTCTTCTTCTTGTCTTCCTCCTTTTTCTTCCTCCCCATCTTCTTCTTCCTTTTCTTCTTCGGGTTTTCTTTCTTTTTCTTCTTCCTTTTTTTCATCCTTCTTTTTCTTTTCTTCTTCTTCTTCTTCTTCTTCTTCTTCTTCTTCTTCTTCATTGTCATCTTTCTTTTTCTTCTCCTTTCTTTTCTTCTTGTCTTTCTTCTTCCTTTTCTTTTCCTTGTCTTTTGTCTTTTCCTTTTTATTATTCTTGTCTTCCTTCTTTTTCTTCTTTTTTCTTTCTTCTTCTCGCCTTCCTTCTTTTTCTTCATATTACTATTGCATTTTTTACCATTGCTCATATTGCAATTGTTGTTGTTATTATCGCTTTTCTCTGGAACTCATTATTATTAGTTTCCATAAAGTATTCATTTCTATGCTTGGATTCCTTAAGTTTTCGTATTTTCCAGTGATGTTCTCCGTCTAATATTTAATCTCATCCCACAGGGAGGGGGGCGCTGATCTCCCTTTTCCCTCTATATGTGATCAGCTACGCCTGATTTTTCTATTTCGTTTTACCACTTTACGATGTTCTTGTGAATATGGCAATGAAGATGAGGATAACAGTCCGAATAATGCAAATAATGCAAGTAAAAATAATACTTAATCTTAGAGGTTCAATCACATGAAGAAGGCCGGAGCGTACAATGGCCGAAACGTTGTGAATATGGCAATGAAGATGAGGATAACAGTCCGAATAATGTAAATAATGCAATTAATCATGATACCTCATCTCAGAGATATAGACAGATGTTGAAGAAGGTCATTTGAGGTCATTTTAACCATGGGTAGACACAAATGTCTCTGTAGAGACAAAACTGTGTTTTATAGCTGAAAATTGGATGAATCCAATGGGGTTAGTGTGGCTTTAGAATCTGTTTATATTTTCCGAAGAAATGATTTCGAAGCATTACTTTCAGATCGTCTTTTGTAGAAATTCTCGTTTTTGTCGCTCATGACCGAATTCGATTTAGATTCGAAATTCTATTGATTCTAAATATACCTTCTAAAGTTGTCTATCGATTTTCTGATTAAATCGGTTGATAGATAAATAAATTGTATCGAAAATTCAATCGCGTTCTTTATTTTTAAATATCGTCTACTTTGTCGGTTTCCAAAATCTGTTTCATTGTTTTTATCTACCGAACTAAATTGCTATCTCAGTCTGTTCATATCTATCTATCTATCTATCTATCTATCTATCTATCTATCTATCTATCTATCTATCTCATACTGTTCATATCTATCTATCTATCCCATCTATCTATCCCAGTCTGTTCATATCTATCTATCTATCTATCTATCTATCTATCTATCTATCTATCCCAGTCTGTTCATATCTATCTATCTATCTATCTATCTATCTATCTATCTATCTATCCCAATCTGTTCATATCTATCTATCTATCTATCTATCTATCTATCTCATACTGTTCATATCTATCTATCTATCTATCTATCTATCTACATTATTCTCTTCATATCTATCTATCTATCTATCTATCTATCTATCTCAGTCCTATACTGGGTGCCAACCATGGCTGAAGAGTCCAGTCATCCTTATTGTCTAAACATGGATGTATGTCTTTTCTTAAAGCTATTTGAGCGAAAGTAAATGGAACGATTGGAATTCGAACTTGACTCGTCGATTTTTCGTTGTGGTACTAACCCTAGCACCACACGCACACTCTTAATAAGAAGCAAAAAAAAATAAATAAATAAATAATAAATAAATAAATAAGGCTAACAATCCGAGCCGACTTATTACATCAGTAATTATCGATAACGCGATCTAAATTACGAAGTCTCTTTGGAATTGGTTAGAGATGGAGTCTGACCTATTCCAGTTGAAGCTGGAATAGAAAGAACGTAAAAAGAAAGAAAGGAAGGAAAAAGAAAGAAAAGGAAAGAAAAAATCAGAAAGAAAGAAAAAAGAAAGAAAAATGAAAAAGGAAGAAAGACAGAATAGAAAAAGAAAGCGAAAGGAAAAAGAAAAGAAGAAAAAAGAAAGAATTAACATAAGAAAGAAATGAAAAAGAAAGAAAGAATAGAAAAAGAAATACAAAGGAAAAGTTAAGGTAGAAAGAAAAAAGAAAAAAGAAAGAAAGTAAAAAGAAATAAAAGAAAAAAGATACAAAAAGGAAGTACAAAAAGTACAAAAGTAGGAAAGAAAGGAGAAAGCAAGAAAAAAGAAATTAAGAAAGGAAAAAGAAAAAAGGAAAAAGAAAGAAAGAAAAAGAAAGAAAGAAAAAGAAAAAAAAATTAAAAAGAAAGAAATGAAAAAGAAAGAAAGAACGAAAAAAGAAAGAAAGAAAAAAAGAAAGAAAAAAGAGACAATGAAAGAAAGAGGAGCCGATAACGCTCTCATGCTATTGTAGTAATGGCGTCTTTAGTGATCGTTTAGGCTCAGCATTTTCTTCCGTATTCCGCCTCCACCCCGCGCGCCATTTTGCCCCGCTGTGGAATGGCACGCTGCGCCCGGCTTTACATTTTGTTCCTGATACTTGCAGCTTGCTATCAGCTAGCTAAATGTTTTCGTTACTAAGAGACCGCCAGACACGGAAGTTGAGGAGAAATCTGCAATTAATTCTGGACAGCTGCAAATTTTCAGTCTTAAATGTCAGTCGAAAAAAAAAAAAAATCTGGGAAAAGAGTCATCCCCACACCTCTGACATCTTTTTAACGCAGAGAAGCAAAGAATACTTTCTTGTCCGGAGTGACAGAACGTTGAGTTAACCATTTCAATGGCTCTTTGTCAATAACGGCGAGTTCTTCAAGAACCACATTGCAAGAATAAAATTTAACATTGCCAATATTAACTTTTCGTTACGAAAAAACAAAACAAAGCAACAACAACGGAAAAAAACAGTAAAATATTTCAGAAATTAAGAACTAGTTTTTAGCACAGAAATACCTGTCTATAAACAATTATCATGTTTCCCTGTGTATAATACGACATAAGTATAATATGGACAAGTGTCCGAGTGGTTAGAACGTTCTCATTCTGAACATGGGACCCGGGTTTGAATCTCGATTTGTCATGAAGAGGACTTCCTGATGTTATCAGGCTGCGACATCTTCGGAAAGGGTCTAAAAACTATACCAGGGGTTGACCCACGCATTTTGACTGAAATTGGGTAAACAAATCCCTTGGGGGCCGTCGATAGCACGTAGTTAAAAGTCATCTCCGGTGTCAGGCTACTGACTGAGGTGACTATTGAGTGGAACTATCCAGTCGAATTAGTGTGAATTATTGTCCGTCGATGATTTGGGTTTGGATTTAGGATTTATTCACTGAAATGGTTAATTATATTTGGTTGACTTTTATTTGAGCATGCTGGCCTTGTTCAAATTGTTGATGACGCTAGATAACACACTTTTCCCCAGAAACTGTAACTAAGATCTGCTCAGCATAGTTGCAGTATAAACCAGAGGTGGGCTCTGTGGGTGTTGAATTAACACATATGGGCCTGAGCAAGCGTCTGCAATAGGGATTGGCTAGCCGCCATAGTAGTATTCTCGAATACAAGTGGACACCTATACATAATGCTGCTCTGTGTTTCTGAAGCTAAAACCAAGGAATAAATTACACCCGTGAATATAATATGACTCCGTAATACAGGCACTGTTATGTAATTTTTTCTTGAAGAGTTGTACCATATTTTCCAAGTTCAGATATATATTGTCATATAGGAAAAAAAAATAAGTAACCACCGACACTGAGGTTCGAACGTGACACTCTGGACTTATGAATATGTGTTTTCCGCCAGGTGTATAAATAGCGGTGTCAGGCTACTGACTGTGGTGACTATTGAGTGGAACTATCCAGTCGAATTAGTGTGAATTATTGTGCGTTGATGATTTGGGTTTGGATTTAGGATTTACAGGACGTTAATCCAAGCCGCGCTACTAACAAGGTATTCACTGAAATGGGTAATTATCTTTGGTTGACTTTTTACTTCTTTGTTCTTGTTAAGCATTTATTTGCGGTTGTAATTAAATACTGTTTTATTTTAACATTGAAGTCTTGAGTTATAACTTAATTATTAACGGCTACTGTACGTCACAAAAGGCGTGATTTTAGCTGTGTCTTTAAAACCCGGTAATTTTTAAAAGTTACTCCAAAATTCGCTTGAAGATGAAATGGAACTAATGCTTTTAATTTAATTGCAAAATTAAATTCGGGTTTTTAGCTTCTATTTTTGAAACATGGGTAGAAATGTGTAGCGGAAAAAAAACATATTTTAAATCAATTAATTTATAATATTAATGCTCTGTAAATTTACATTGAGCACTATTTTGTAAAATAAAAATATCTATAAGAACACCGGATTTTATATCTTACTGTTCTTTTTTTTATATATATATATATATATATATATATATATATATATATATATACATAGAGAGAGAGAGAGAGAGAGAGAGAGAGAGAGAGAGAGAGAGAGAGAAATAGATGTCTATCTATATTTCTGAGATGAAGTATTTTGCACACTATTTACATTATTCGTACTATTGTCCTCATCTTTGTCGCCATATTTATTACAACGTTTCGGCCATTGTACGCTCCGGTGTTCTTCAGGTGGTTGGAATGTCGAACTGAACACTTTATTTCGCTCACTGGGGGAGACTGTTCTAGTTCCACGTGCCATGTTTAATGTCAGTTATCAGTTATCTCCTGTTAATTTAGGAGATAATCCAAGTTCACAACTGCCTTTACCGGGTATTGATCTCACACTCTTTGGTCCCTCTCAGTGGATCTAACCAACGGACTTATCCACTGTGTCATGTGTCGTCTATATAATAAATACGAATATCAGCGTGTCACACTTTCCAAATTTACTCTTGGAGGCCGTGGCCTAACATATCGTACCATTTTGGAATCAGGCCGAATCTGTGAGTAATTTAAAAACATTCCAGGTCGGATCCGTACCCGAAATTCTGAAATTTTGGATTCCCAAATTTTCATTACTGCTACTGTTTTCGGCGATTTTTTACGTGATTTTTGGCGATGAATTTTTTGTACGAAATTGTTGTAATGAAATTAAGGACCTACATGCATCAAAATGTCTTTAAATTATCGTTGAAATGCAGCGATCACTTTTGAGTCCTTCTGGAGTTTATTGTAGCCTAGAGTTTCAAATCCTTCCTTGAATAGTCCTCCGCTTAAATGCTGCCAAAAATATTAAAAAATATTTAATTTTTCACGATATCAAAGAATATCATTTTTTAAAAATCATTTCACCCCACGTAAGGCTATAAAGCAATTAAGACGGAAGGGGTTACTGAGTGTGAAAGAATAGGAGAAAAACTACTATTAAGGAGAGAGGACAATAAAAGAAGAAGAATTAAGACAACAGAAGATAACGATTGACATTGCATTTAAAACTTTGAAGATCAAAGGAAATAAAGCCACTAGGACGCAAGGGGTTACTGAGTTTTAGAGAATATGAAAAACAACTATTAAGGAGAAAGGACAATAAAAGAAGAAGAATTAAGAAGACAGAAGATAACGATTGACATTACAGTTAAATTTTTGAAGATCAAAGGCAATAAAGCCACTAGGACGCAACAAGGTTACTGAGTGTTAGAGAATATGAGAAAAACTACTATTAAGGAGAGAGGACCATAAAAAACAGATGATCATGATTGACATTGCATTTAAACTTTTGAAGATCAAATTTAACTGGGAAGCAAGAGAGTGGAAGAGAGTTCCACGTGCAGGAAGTGCGAGAGAAGAAACTGTTAGTATAGAACATATGGTTTACATGCAGCCATTTCAAGTGTAAAATGATACGACCTTGCCGCCAATTCATTACTGTGCTTAAATTCATAAAATTTAGGCATCATAGAGGAAATTAATGTTTATTTTGTAAGATAAAAAAAATGTGGCGAAAGGCCAAAACGGGCGTAGGGGAAGGTCGGTCCCTCTGTCTTGTAATTAAACTTAGCTAGCCACAATTATTTACCCGAACATACCACACCAAATACTTACACCAAAGCAACACATTCTTAAGTAACAGTTTTACTACAGTCACCATAATACCTCAGAGTCTCGATAAAGTCATAACTCGTTCACATATCTACAATTTGTTTGTGAGGGTGAAGGAATAAAAATAACATCATTAAAAAAGAGAAAAGTTCATCAGAACAATTAATGTGAAAGTATTTATAGGAAAAGCGCATGGAAGTTACGTTACGGCAGTGGGAAAGTGACTAAGGCCGAGATGCCAGAAGTTATTTTCGAATTTTGGACATACACGGTAATAAATTTTAAGCTATTTTAAGTTTGATTTGATATGATATTATATTTCTTAATAAACTACGGAAATCAAAAACAGAAATTGTCTTTCATTCAAAACGAAGAGAGAAAACTTTATAAAAAAAAAACAAAAAAAAACAACCCCCCCCCAAAACAAGAAAATCAAAATATAAAAATATATATATATATATATATATGTATTTGCGGTGTTAATGGACAGCGGCTCGGATTGAGCCGAGTTCGAATTCCAGTCGAAACTTGATAAAAGTATGAATCTTCTTCTCCCCCTAGCTATGGGTAAATAGCAGGAGAGACTGGGTACTATAGCCTTGGATGGCAACTGGTCTACCGCAGAAAGAAATGGCAACCAACGGCGAGAAAAAAATTCTGCCTCGTCAGTCATGTATCGAAAGATACATGATCGTCTAAGCGTTTATCACGTATGGCAAATAACTGACTGATTCACCAGCAATAACAATTTATAGTAAAATTACCAACAATACAATTTTATAGTATAATAAATTTTATCCATTGTTGAAGCCATAAAATTGTGTTCAAAATATTTAGATTTCGGCATTAAATAACCCATAGAGGTTGATATGTTGCTAAATCTCTCTATATAAAGTTGTAGCCACTGTCTGTCTGTTTGTTATCGAACTTCTAGGGTTTTGGAGATAGACCCCCCCCAAAAAAAAAACCCCCATAAACACATATATTCTGAAACTGCATTACCCAGGGTAATGTTAATATTTCATTTTGATAATAATAAAAAACAAAACAAAACAAAAAACAAAAAAACATTGAATTTTTTCCTCTGATAGAAATTAAATTTAAACAAGGGAATTATTCCTAGTGTACTTGGATAAGTTTATTTCATTTTGATCAAAGTGGGTCCCCAGTGGGTACAATCCCGCACTGAATTTTTTCTCCCTTTTATTTAAATTAAATTTAGATTTGAACAAGGGAATGGAATAGAAGGAGAAATCCAGAAAATGGAGGTCACATCAGTAAGATGAAAATGAGACAATATGGACGTCAAATTGTGCAAGAAATCACCAATCAGTGGATAGTGCCTTACAATAGATACTTTTGCGACAATTCGTCATATCAATGTAGAGATCTGCTCATCAATTCAATCAAGTATTGCATCTAATACATATCAAAGGGGTCAAATCAAGCTGCTTTTGTACCCCTTAAACTAAATTTGTTTCTCGTTGATTCAAATTAAATTTAAATTTGAACAAGGGAATGACTCCTATCCAAAATATAGAAGGAGAAAGCCAGAAGATGGAGGTCACATCGGCAAGATCAAAATGGGACAATATGGACGTCAAGTTAAGCCAGAAATCACCAATCAGTTCCTTACAATACATATCAGCAAGATCATTGAGTAATATTGAAATGCATTTTCCCCCTACAAATTATAACAATGATTTTAAAATCAAGCATAATTTTCTTACAAAAAATGTGTGACACATAGCAAGGCGAGGGCAATTCGGCTAGTATATTTTATTTTTATAAAAATACAATTTTTAGTAAGAATACTAACAATACGTTTTCATAAAAAAATACCAGCCAGACAGTTTAGAAAAATATATACCAAATTTCCCAAGAAAATTCAATTTCGGTATTAAATAACCCATAATGAGTCCCGTTAAAGAAAATAAAGCAAATCAAAAACCAAAGATATTCCCTTAAATTTCCTCTTGATATATAAAAATTTATATACAGTTTTCTGATATATGAGTAACGAAGGTTCAAAGATTCTTGTAGTGAAAATGGCTATCTCCGTCCTTACCCACACTTAATACATTTAGAAGACGTATTTAGCAATTCCAAAACGTTTCCGGCTCTCTGAGTGACATTTTCCAATTTGTCACGCAGACAAATTTTTGTAGCTGTTTGATTTTGATATCCCCATTAGACAGGGGATTAGCTGAAGCGTAAATAATCCTAAAAATGACGCATTACAATTTTGAATATTTACAGAGACCTACGTATAGTGTTTTATATATTAGTTCTCTCTCTCTCTCTCCTCTCTCTCTCTCTCTCTCTCTCTATATATATATATATATATATATATATATATATATATATATATACACTAATATATAATATATATGATATATATATAATATATAAAAACTATATATGTGTGTGTGTGTGTGTATTATATGTATTATGTAGTGTGTATTATATATATATATATATATATATATATATATATATATATATATTTACTAGCAGTAGAGCTCGGCGTTACCCGGGTATGTAACAGTAAGAGATAGATCAAGTATCGACCATCATAAAAATAAAATGAAAAATAAAATTGACAAAGATTATTGTTTAAGGTTGACAGACACGCATGTCTTAATTAGTTTTTTTTTTTTTTTTTTTTTTTATGAATAGGTCAAACCCAAACGCAAACAAAAACATTGTTTTCAATCGTTATGAGTCTACCGATTGAATAGAATTTTATTATAAACAATTTTCTTGTAAATGGAATTTTTAAAGCATTCTGAATGTAAAAATAAAGAAAAAAAGTGTGCAAGACAATAAGAAACACTACCTGCCAAAAAAAAAAAAAAGTGAAGTTTTGTTGAAATCGGTTGAAAAATGTAGAAATCCGATCCCATATATAAACGAACACACACACACACACACACACACACACACACACACACACAACCTGGGTTTTAAGTATAACTCGATATTAGTTGTCCACCTTTCATTCTCGTGATGCCTCTTAATCGTGTTTTCAAATTGATTTCGTGCAAAAACTATTGTGTTTTTCCAATTTTTGGCCCTGTCAGAACCACCACAAGGTAATTTTACGTAGTCCTGTGAAGTTTTGTTGAAATCGGTTGAAAAATGTAGGAAATCCGATACAATCTGCGTTTTATAATAAGTAATATATATATATATATATATATATATATATATATATGATTATCCAGCCACAGAAGTAAACGCTCTACTTTGATTAAGTCCAGAAATTTTGAAACAGGTAAGCAGAATTTGAAATTCTTAAATCCTCACTACCATGATGTTAGACAATTTTATATCATTCAACACACACACACACACACACACACACACACACACACACACACACACACACACATATATATATATGAAGAAATATAGTCTTAAGATGTGCTATATTTATGTGATAAAGTGCTCAGTATCAGAGATAGAGGCGTATGTAAATATAAAAGTGAATATAAAGTCAACACTTAGAGGCGACAGGCTGTTTCATGCTAGATGCAATCGTCGTAGCCATGATTGCATCTAGCATGAAACAGACCGTTGCCTCTAAGTGTAGACTTCTATGTTCACTTATATATATATATATATATGTGTGTGTGTGTGTGATTAACATTTAGCACTGCAGCATTTATAAATATTACTTCCCCTTTTACTGTATATAGAATCCCCGCAAAATATAATGTTTTATATATTAGTTCTATATATTTGAAATTGCAGTAGCGTGGGTTTCAATTTTAGTCAAGATTGTTTTAGGTGTTGCCATAGAAGGATATGGCTACACAACGAAGAAATTAAAATTCAACTTGCATTGGCAGAATTAACATTTTGCCTGGTAAAAATAGTCACGCGAGCGTGCCAGTGTTTAACGTTTGTGAGGTACTAAGACATATTTCTTGCTTTTCAGGTTTAACGCATGCTGCCGTCTGGGCATCTTGTTGTTCGTACATCACGCAAGCAATTCCGACGAACTTGCGGTCATCTGCCCAAGGTATACTTCAAGGTCTGCACCATGGTCTGGGACGTGGATGCGGTGCAGTCTTCGGCGGAATTATGGTCAATTATATCGGTAAGTACCAAAAATAAACGTTATTTTCTTAATTTAATAAATAATAAATAAATAAATAATAATAAAATAATAATAAATAATAATAATAATAATAAAATAATAAAATGATAATAAAATTAATAATAAATTAATAATAAATAATAAAAAAAAATAATAACAACATTAATTAATAATATCAATAAATAACAATAATAATAAAATAATAAATAATAATAATTAATAAAAATAAAATAAAATAATAATAGATAAAAAAAACATAATAAATAGTAATAAATAAAAAATAATGAAATAATAATAATAAATAACAATAAATAATAAAAAATGATAATAAATAAAAATAATGAAATAATAATAATAAATAACAATAAATAATAAAAAATGATAATAAATAAAATAATGAAATAATAACAATAAATAACAATAAATAATAAAAAAAATGATAATAAATAAAATAATGAAATAATAATAATAAATAACAATAAATAATAAAAAATGATAATAAATAAAAATAATGAAATAATAATAATAAATAATAAATAATAAAAATGATAATAAATAAAAATAATGAAATAATAATAATAACAATAAATAATAAAAAATGATAATAAATAAAATAATGAAATAATAATAATAAATAACAATAAATAATAAAAAATGATAATAAATAAAATAATGAAATAATAATAATAAATAAATAATAAATAATAAAAAAATGATAATAAATAAAATAATGAAATAATAATAATAACAATAAATAATAAAAAATGATAAATAAAAATAATGAAATAATAATAATAAATAACAATAAATAATAAAAAAATGATAATAAATAAAATAATGAAATAATAATAATAAATAACAATAAATAATAAAAATTATAATAAATAAAAAATAATGAAATAATAATAATAAATAATAATAAATAATAAAAAATGATAATAAATAAAAATAATGAAATAATAATAATAAATAACAATAAATAATAAAAAAAATGATAATAAATAAAAATAATGAAATAATAATAATAATAAAAATAAAAAATGATAATAAATAAAAAAAAAATAATAATAATAAATAACAATAAATAATAAAAATGATAATAAATAAAAATAATGAAATAATAATAATAAATAACAATAAATAATAAAAAATGATAATAAATAAAAATAATGAAATAATAATAATAATAATAAATAATAAAAATGATAATAAATAAAAATAATGAAATAATAATAATAAATAATAATAAATAATAAAAAATGATAATAAATAAAAATAATGAAATAATAATAATAAATAACAATAAATAATAAAAATGATAATAAATAAAAATAATGAAATAATAATAATAATAATAATAAATAATAAAAAATGATAATAAATAAAAAATAATGAAATAATAATAATAACAATAAATAATAAAGAATGATAATAAATAAAAATAATGAAATAATAATAATAAATAATAATAAATAAAAAAAATGATAATAAATAAAATAATGAAATAATAATAATAACAATAAATAATAAAAATGATAATAAATAAAAATAATGAAATAATAATAATAAATAACAATAAATAATAAAAAATGATAATAAATAAAAATAATGAAATAATAATAATAAATAAAATAAATAATAGAAAAATGATAATAAATAAAAATAATGAAATAATAATAATAAATAACAATAAATAATAAAAAAAATGATAATAAATAATAATAATAAAAATAATAATGAAAACAAAATAATAAATAATAATAAATAAAACTAATAAATAATAAATAATTTATAAATAAATGATTAATAATTAAAAATAATTTAATAATAAATAACTATAAATGACAATAAATATGATAATAAATAAAAACAATAAAATTAAGAAAATAATAATAAAAACAATAAATAATAATAATTATAATGAAATAATAAAATAATGATAAATAATAATAAAATAATGAAAAATAATAATAAATAACAATAAATAATTATAAAAATAATAATAAATGATAATAATAATAATAATAAAACAATAATAATAAACAATAATAAATAATAATAATTATAAATAATAATAAATAAATACTAATAAATAATAAATAATTAATAAATAAATAATTAATAAATAATTTAATAAACGAGATGGAACGCTGTTGGTTTTAACTGCCATTTTCAAAAAGGGAATTTTTGATTCTTTTAATTTTTCATTTATTCTTATATTTTTCGTAGATTTTTATTATAGTTTTTGTTATGTATAATCTTCATTAAAATATATTTGTTTCGTCTATTTTTTAAGATAAGTCGTGGAATACATCGTTTGTTTAATTTTTTTTAAAGTAATTGTTATTTAGCAAGTTTAATTTATTAAAAATGTCTCACTAAGGATTATCATATTAAGAACATTCAATACCTTGGATTTTTTAAATTCCTTATACATTAACAGGAATAATTCTTTTAAATTTAAATTTAAATTTTCTTTTAAATTCAAGCGTAACATTTAAATTTATCATTTAAATTTGAATTAAATTTAAATTTTAAATTTTAAAATTTTAATTAATTTTAACCTTTAAATTTAAACGTAACATTTAAATTTAGCATTTAAATTAAATTTAAATTTTAAAATTTAAAATTTAAAATAATTTTAACCTTTAAATTTAAACGTAACATTTCTCTTTTAATGAATGAGGACGTACACCCTTGTGAAAATTAATCGAAACAAAACGAATAATTCCGTTATTATTTAATTTTTTCCATATTTTTCCAATGAAAAATGACCCAGTGCACATATTAGTACTTCGTATGTTCATTCTACGAAGTCATTCCTTGCAGATTGATCGCAGATTATCGATTGGATTTAAATCAGGAGAGTTTCCGAGCCAGTCGATAGTACTTTGATTTTCTCACTGGTAAGGCTTGCCATTGTGTTCGTGCGGCGTTACAATTTTCGTACGCTTCCTTGGAGTAACATTCATCGCAGACAATGGCCGTAAGACAACTAATCAACAGTCGAGACAATAGTGTCTGGGCGTGATAAAAATCTGATGCAATTACGGATGGCGTAATATTTTTTAAGGCTAAACAAATTTCATCATACACCCCGAAAATAGATTCATATTACTGCACACCACTGCAAATGACCTAATCTGAGAAAAAAAATCGATGACACCCTATTACTCCAGTGGGTCTAAAACTGACCGTATAGTGAAAGTAAGGAAACTGGAGCAGTTGTTTCAATTAATTTGCCAAAGGGTGCAACTTTCAGAATTGTAGGAAAGGCATTGCCAGTCGTAATATTTGTTTATCACCGACTGTTCAGTATCTTCGATTTCCTTCTCTATTATTTATTAGTAAAACGTTTTTTTAAACAGCCTTTGCTTAGAATTTATTCTTTTCTTATTTATTAAATGTGAAGACAAATTTGTCGGAACAGCGTTTTGTGTCATGACAGTCATTTTATTGATTCAGAATAGTCAATTTTAATAATAACAGTAATAATAACAAATAAATGTTCTTAAATATCTGATAATTTTATACGTTTTTTCTTTTCTTATTTATTTACTGATTTCTATTGTTATCATTTAATATATATATATATATATATATATATATATATATATATATATATATATATATATATATAATTATTTATTAAAGTGGTAATTTGATGACTAAATGTTCAAATATATATACATTTTATAACTGATCAAAAAATTTAAGACCACTTGAAAATTTTTTTAAAAGACTATTTTTCAGGAAAAATTTTAAACATTTCTTACTTAAGGTTTAATTTTATAATCTAAAAACGTTATGTTATATATAAAAGTCAAATCTGAACATTTTATTGAGAAATTGACATTTTTATAAAATGGTGCGTTTTACACTTGATCAAAATTATAAGACCCAGATGCAAAAATTCTACGAAATTCTACGAAAAGTATTTCTACATTCAATAACCAAGTTTTCTATGACTTCAAAAAATTCATTTGGGCTATGCTAAAATTACAATAAGTTTCCATTAAGCTGCGAGAAATATTGCTCCAGCTTCTGAATTTCATTTTTTGTTGAATATTGTTTGCCATTTCGATAAACATCTCTTAGTATTTATCAATCCACCCACGAGGATAGAATGTGGCACAAGGCCGGTTTAATGTGCTATTTTATCCCCGAGCCCGTAGGCTCGGCCAAAAATATAGCCTTTTTGAACCCGCCTAGATTCTACCTCCCCTTCGGCAAAGCTTCGTCCGGGTTCCTCTCTGCTAATGCAGAGAGTTCGACAGATGCCGACTCGGGAGCTCACAAAGGCAGCGTACTACACTTTGATCATTGCCCCCGGGCCGAGCAAGTCCAGTGAACATGCAGGGTGTGTTCAAGAGATGGACCCCATAGATAGAGGAAGAACCCTTGATATGTGGCACGCTGCACCTTTCGATGGACGGGCATTAGTGGTCCTCAAACATCTCTCACGTGATGGCTCCAAGTTGCCAAGCCACGGTAAACCGCTTCAGCTGTTGGGTTAAACGCAGGTAAAGGGTTTTTGTTAACATGGCACCATGGTCGAAGGACCTCCTCAACGCAGGTCACTGGTCAGGGTAGAAGTTTAGCACAAATAACAAAAAAGAAAAAATGTATTAAGGGAGAGAAAGGACGGAAAATTCTTGAGAACAGTTGTATCGTCGAGGTGAATGATAGAGAGGAGAATGAGTGATTAATATATTTATTCAGCACCAGTATCCAGTGTGTTGGGGACCTTGTTGAGGGTTCATGGCGTGGCTGTTATGTTGTTGATAGAAGTCAGACGTAGAAGAAACGCAAGGTTCAGATACTCCTGCCCGCCGAGCCCAACTACATAAAAGGTTGGACTTTGATTAAGTCCAAAGAAGAAGGAAAAGAAAGCAAACAAAACACAAAACCGATAATATATGTATATACAAATATATATTAATAACAAGTTACAATACATGGACACAGTACAAAAGACGAAGTGTGTGTGAATATTCTGT